CTATATAAAAAATTATTTTATTTGTATCCACACACACCCACTCACCAACAATTTACATCTGTATAAAAAGATTAGACAACTTCTAATGCTATTTTTGTACGGATGTTTCCCGCCCAAAGTTTTTTTGACAAAATAAGAGAGCTATTTTTTAATTCTATACAAAGTTTAATGTTTTAATTATTTTATAAACATTAATGTCATTATATTTGAAAATGTTATGACTAACTAATTTGATTAAATAGTTGTCTTATATGGATGATTGAATTATATATATGATAATAAATATAGCAAAATTAAGATAGCAAATAATTTAATATTTTAATAGACATGTGCCATAGATCTATGTTCTTGCAATTCTCTTAGTATCTATGATGGTTCAGGTTTATATTTTATATTTTATTTACTTAATTTGGTCAACCTACATAAAAAGATCCATCCATAGTTATATAAAATTATTTTTCAAACAAAAGACATTGAAAATGAATATTAATTTAAAATTTATATAATAATTTATGTATATTATCTAAATATTTTTATATAGACACTAATAAAATAGAATGAGCAAAATTACTATTTACTCTAGGTCGTTTGGTTGGAGGAAAATGGAGGGGAGGGGAGGAGATGGATTATTTTAATTTTCCTTTGTTTGGTTTATAAGTTTGGAGGGGAGTGGAGGGAAAATTTTAAGCAAGAATCCCTCCCCTCCACCAATTTTGCTCCCCTCCAAAAGTGGGAGGATTTGGAGGGGAGTGAAAATTTTAACACATAAAATTACTATATTGTCCTTATTATGTGCAATTTGTGTGTTGTATGGACGTTTTAATACAAAAACGTATTAACAAAATACGTTTTAACATAAAACGTATTCTTCAAATACGTTTAATATGTAAAACGTATTTTGGTAATCTATTTTAGTTTATGTTAATTAAGATTAATTATCTTAATTATATTTTTTTAACTAAAACATATTCGAAAAATACGTTTTACAATATAAAAAACGTATTCCTAGAATACATGTGTTTCATTTTTGTCCACACATTTTTTTTTTTTTTTTCCACTTANNNNTTTTTTTTAAATAAATAATAAATTCAAAAATATATTGACTAAACTAAAAATGAAAAACAAATAACCAAACAATAAAACAAAAACAAAACGTACACATGATTTGTAAAACAAAAACTGTCAATTTATATAATCAAGATTTTTACTAATTGTAATTTTGTTAAGAGTCATTAATGAGAGCAATTAATCTTGATTTTAATGGTTTATTTCTCATAAGTCCATTTAATGAGAGAGAGTAAAAGAACAACATGTAAAGTATGTTTTTGCCATTACAAAACATTAACAAACTATGATCCATAGAGGGTATTTTAGTGAACACACTTTTTTACAAAAATATTCAGCCTTTTAAGTTAGTAGAGATAGAGATAGAGATAGAGATGAAAGGAAATTATATTATACTACTAATAATCTAATAATAAAAATAATTTTAAGTATAAAGAAAAAAAAAAAAAAACAATAAAGCAAGCAAACAAACATACATAATAAGAAAAATCAATATACTAAGAGTCATGCATCCATATATATTGACATCACTGATTTGATCAAGCAAGCTAACTCATACAACAAGCAACAAACAAACATACATAATAAATTCAACACATTAAAACTAAAGACATCCATGCCGGAACCGAACAATATTTATCAGACTGCCACAACGAAATTAAAACGTAACGTTCTCTGGAGGAGACATCCATGCAAACGTAGTTGACAGAGCCTTCACTAATTTCCGTCCAACACTCTTCTGAGCCTTCTCCACTTGATAACGATATACACATAAACATTGTCCCATAACTTGTGAAAGAGCGCATAACACCATTCTCTCCATTTCTTCTTAAAATACAATGTCGTGAGGACAGCCGAAAGCCCGACCGCGTACCCTAAAGATAGGAATATGTAAAACCAATCAATCTCTCGCTTATTACCTTCGCGGCCTTGATTTTCTGCGTGCATTGGATCACGGGCTTTATCGTCATTTCTGCAAGATACTGTAAGTGGAAGGCCACAGAGATTGTTGCCAATGAAGCTCGACTGGTTGAAGCTCCCAATTTGGGTGCTTTGTGGGATTCTCCCTGTCAAGTGGTTATACGACAGATTCAAGTAGTTCAGAGAAGTCATGATTGACATGCTACTTGGAATGTTGCCGGACAGTGAGTTCATTGAGAAATCAAGAGATTCGAGTTGCTTGATGTTTCCAATGTTGTCTGGGATGGATCCTGTTAAATTATTTCTCGACAAGTTCAGTGATCTGAGTTCCACAAGACTTGCTATCTCGCTCGGGATGTCACTAGACAGGGTGTTGTTTGAAAGGTCAATGCTGGTAACCAAAGAAAGAGTAGTACCGTAGGTGAGCTCTTTTCCTTTTGTTGCAATTGACGCACTCTCAGAAAATGTACCATTGACATAAAAAAGAAGTTTTAAATTTCTCTTTGTGGTAATCGCAGTAAGGTTGTCGAGGCAGGTAGGTATTCTCCCTGAAAGTCTGTTATGAGAGAGATTCAAGATTTGAAGAGATGTTAGCTGGCATATGGATCTGGTAATTTCTCCACTGAAATTGTTTGACCGCAAAATGAGAATTGTGAGCTGATAAAATCTTGTGTCAATCCATATCGGTATGTCCCCACCAAGATTATTATAAGAGAAGTCGATCTTCACTAGGTTCGTGCAATTTTGCAGTGAAGAAGGTATGTGGCCAGAGAAATTGTTTCCGTACAGATTCAAGGACGCCAAACTTGATAGAAATCCTATGGAATCTGGTATTCTTCCGGATAATTGATTGTGGCCTAAGTTCAACGCTCTCAATGATTGCCATTTCACGAAACAATCAGGTAACTCACCAGACAGGCTGTTTTCCCCGAGATTAAGATTTTGCAGTCCACTATTGGTTGATGTGTTGCAGAGAAATTCTGAAAGATCTCCCGAGAATGTGTTATTGGAGAGGTCGAGTTCCAACAATGAACTCATCATTATTCGAGGCAGTGGACCGCTAAACCTGTTGGAACTCAAGTCAAAAACATGTAAAAAATCGTAAATATCTCCACGATCACTAATGGATAAAATCTTTCCGTCGAGTTGGTTATGCGAAAGGTCGAGAAAATACAAACTCCATAACCATCTGGGAATGTTTCCATAGATTCCAGTAGACGATAAATCAAGATAGGTGACACTCTCTTTCTGAGTCTCGAGCCATAACGGAAATGGAGACCCCAAGTCCCAAGACCTTAGATTAAGTGTCTCTAGTTTGAATGGTGGAATCCAATTGGGGTCGACTCTCAAACTCAAGTGGTTTCCAGAGGCTCGCAATGATCTTAGATTTGAGAGATGGGCAAAGTGGGTTTCGGTCACAACCCCTTCCAAGGTGTTATTATCTATCCAAAGCTCAGTCAAGTTCACAAGTTTCCCAATACTCTCTGGTAAGTTCCCCCTCAATTTATTGTTATCCAACTCTAACCTTTCAAGGGAAACCAACTTCCCTACTTCGTTTGGAATTACACCGGACAATGAGTTTTCATGAAGGTCGAGGAATCGAAGACTCGTAAATTCTCCAAATCGATGAGGCAGATGACCGGAGATTTGATTCTCTGACAAGTCTAAAGACATCAAAGATCCTAAGAAACAATCTGACATATTGTTTCCAAAAGAATCTGTTATCTCTCCTCCCAATTTATTGTAAAATAAACTCAAGGTCCGAATATTGCACAGGTTTGCAAGTTCTCTTGGTATTTTTCCAGAAAGTTCATTTTGACTTAAATCCAAATACTGGAGGTGTTTGCAGGAGGAGAGCCACTGTGGAATGCTTGAATTGAAATTGTTATTGGAGAGATCAATGTGTTGGAGTTTCGTGGTGTTGCTCGTAGTTGGAATCGGGCCTTTGAATAAGTTGCTACTCATATCAAGATAGATAAGGTTGGTGAGTCGAAAAATCCACAGAGGAATGATGATGCCATAAGACAGGGAATTGTAGTTGGAGGAGAGATCAAGAGTGGCCAAATTACAACGGCTGATGTTGTCAACATCATTCAGAGGAGCCATCAAATTAAGGTTACAATGATTCAATCGCAACTCGACTAAAGAAGGGAGTTTGTTGATCACCTGTTGCGCCCAGTTTGATGCTCTGCTGAGATCCACACCATTCATGTTAAGGTGCTCCAGTTTGTGAAGTCCCGAAAACCATTCCAGACTAACAGCGTACAACCGTTGCTCTGAATTGTACGTGATACCACCAAAACTTAGAGTGTGCAAATTCGAAAGATTTCCGAAATTATGGGGAATCTTACCATAAAATCCAGCAAATGATAGATTCAAGTACTCGAGGCTTGTGAGTGATCCAATGAAGGAAGGGATCTTTTCATCAAAATTGTTAAAGCTCAGGTCAAGATATTTCAAATGCTTCAAGTTGAGCAAAGATGAGTTTATTTTGCCACCTAAACTGTTACCTTGAAGATGGAGTTGAACAACATGGCCGGTTAAGTTGCTGCACACAACACCTTTCCACTTGCAACAATCGAATTTAGCATCCCATGAAGACAACACGTTTGAGGAACCATTTTGAGATTGCTTGAAGCTTAAAAGCGACTGCTTTTCGATTTCAGGGCAAGAGATTGAATAGAGTGGTCGGAAGGACAAGAAAAGGAGGACCCGAAACATAGATGCACGGATAGAGAGTTTTGATTCATTCATCTTCGTTACTTAGAATTTGTAGTGATATTGGTAATACTTATACACATCAATCAGAGTTATATATATATGCATGCACTTGTGTTGCATGATATAGTTAAACTTAAGGCGTAAATATGCTGCAAACTATCAACTGAATGTGTGAACACGGGCAAGGAAAACACTGACGTATCTCTTCATCTGATAATGAAAGAAAAAAATATAAAATGTTTGAGCTGCAAGGCAAAATTGACTTAATATATATATATATATATATATATATATTAAAAATAAAAGACGACCTTGACTTGAAAAATAAAATATAAATATATTTAAAAAAAAAAGACGACCTTGACTTACCGTATGCATATATTGGACCCATTGAATGATCATGCTATTCTTCTTTTTTCTTTTCAAATGTTCATTGATCCTATATTTATTTTGAATATTTATATGGAAAACAAATTAAATTATTTCGATAGAAACATCAAGGAGAAAATGGGGGATCAAAAGTGATTTTCGTCATATAATTAACTTTGTCATATTAAAATCTACGATGTTGCAAATTTGATGCTTTTTTTGTTGCAATTTTGGTCATTAAAAAGTTAACGGATTTTGGTTTAACGGATTTTGGTGGATCTTTACGTAATTTATATCGTGCCTCTGCTTGGAAACGGCGCAAAAAATTTGATTGCGCGTTGCAAAGCGGAAAATTTAGATTTATAAAATTTTCTTCAACTAACCTCTACTAACTAATAACAGTGGTGAACCACGTCGATCTCACGAGGAGTGTCGTAAAAGAGAGGAGGGGAGTAGGGGGATGTCGATTTAATATGTCACTACTTACAAAAGCAAAAAGGTTAAACTAGAACTAGAAATGAGACGATGAAACCAAAAATAAACAAATATTCTAACAAAGATGAGAATGAAATTGGTCCCATGTTGGTTTACACCTTCGATTAATTAGTAATGTACTTATCGAATCTCACTCGTCTTCTAAAACTACCAGTACTAAATAGCAATAGGCTCTTCAATTAAATTTATCTAGTAGGCTCTCGTAATTTTGTTCACTAGTTGCAATAAATTCTAGGAAATAGACCGATCTAAGCCACAAACACAAAAGCTCGATTCATGTAACTTATAAGGACTATCTAGTCCGAGCAATTTTTCACAAAATCACTCATTTTATAATTGTATAGATATAGATAGATAGATTTCGACAAGGACGATCTAGAAATCCACGCTCAGCTTCTTGTCAATACTTGAGAAGGTTTTATAAAATGCCTTGAAGTGCCTATAAGCAATTTCCACATCTTCTTTCCCACATACTTCCCTCACACTGCAAATTGGAAGAAAAAAAAAATGAATTTGATAATTTGAGGTTGAATTAGAATAAAATTGAGGAATTGTGACCTATGCATGGATAGCTGAGGTATGCCACAATCAACCGTACGAATTCCAACTCCCGAAGCCAGTATGGGTCCTATAGTAGACCCACACCCCATATCATTTCTCACAACAAATTCCTGCAAAAATCAAATGCAATAAGCAAACCCCAATCAGCCAGCCAGACGATGTACTTACCAAGAGCCGATGAAGTACAAAAAGAACACATCAAGTATTCGAGTAAATGGATATGCAACACTCCATCCTAAACCCATTTAAAGAAAAGGCCTCGACTGGCACCTAAACATCAAAATGCTGCTATTTAATTGTTTTTAATTCAACTACGGTCAGTGCCTCATTCGGGTGCGTAAATGAAGAAATCCTGATGGTTATTACAGGAAACAGCAACTCATCATGGGAATACTCATCATTTTAACTGATTTATTTTATACGAGACGAGTATTGAGGCTACATGTTACTACAGCATTGAAATTTCTGAAACTAGATAATAACATAAGAACTACATCCAACAACATTATCCAAAATCTTGTGCCTCGTGAATACTATAGAATTCGTCCCAAGGCTTAAAAGGCTTTCTGCCTAATTGGGTACCAATAATAACACACGAGTTTACTATGGAGTCAAGTGCTGCATTTGTTATCCTCCGAATGTTCAATTACGTAAATTACCAATCTACGTTGAGCACAAGCCAGTAAAGCAGGAGGAAGGGAATTAATGCAAGTGCACAAGAAAATTATTGTCAGATTCCATCTGTTTCCTTGTTGAGATGCAGTTATTCAAGTGCACAGCAGGTTACCTGAATAGGAAGATTGTGTATTTTAGCAACTTCTTTGAAGAGGAAAGATGTAACTCCACTTGTAGCATACCGTTGATTAGCATTATGCTTTATTACAAGTCCCTTTTGCAACACTGGCCTGTGGTTTTCTTCGTGTTTGTCCGAAAAATTAGGGTGCACTCCGTGAGCCATGTCGGCTGACACTGAAGTAAAGATTAAAAAAAAAAACACAAAAACACAAAAAAAGAGAGGGAAAAAAAAGAATGATTAGCATAAGATGTTCTTGTCATGAGCGTGGATCAATGAAAACAATGATTCTATCATTTCTTGGTGTTCTAAGATGTTTTTAAAGTTGCTAGCCTGGCCATTTCTTTTCCTACCAACCAGTAGGCAAAAGAACAGAAAAGAATGGTTAGAAGAGATACTTATGCTCCAATTAGGATTAAACCAATTGAACAAAAGATAACAAAGTAAACCTAGCTTTACGAATGCAGCCTATGTAAGACGAACTCAGCAAATGTTTCAACTACGTCAAAACAGAGAGCTACATTTGACAGGTACGAGTAAAAAGGTCAAAGTACCAAGGAAAGAGTGACGAATGGTTCGCGCAAAGCCGCATTCTCCTACGGACTGCTCACCCAAACAAGCAATAATTCGTCTCATTGCCTCAAACATTGTTGGTGCACCAGCCCCCTGGTATGAATCTGAACCGACCTATAACATGTGCAGTTATTTTAACAAAACAATTTAGAAAATAAGAAAGAGGCAAGAGAAAAAACAGATCCTACACAAAGAAAACCACAATGAAAGATACCATAGTATCTTTTTGCATTAACTTTTACATAGATATTTTATCAATTAATCCATCCATTCAGAATAACATTTAGGACAGTAGAAATTGCAACACCTTACATTAGTTAGTTAAGTCTTCGAAAGGTTTTACATAGGAAAAGCTTGGGTCTCTCAAATCCACCGATAAAAATCATGTCTGCTGAAACACCACGTACTTGGTTCCAAGTCATAGCAAGCACGTACTTGAAACAGCAAGTGTTCAGGTGTTCAATTGCTTTTTGATAAACCTTTTTATGCAGCAGAATCAATTATACCAGAAAATGCAACCTCATGCACGGATTCCACCTAAGTATACTGCTCGACCCTTGATCCTTTATTGACACTTCACATAAACTTCCTCTCATGCATCAAACATCATATGGATGTCTGTTTCCTTTATGGTGTCTTTTCACTGAATTTGGACAATATATTGGAAAAAAATGATGACAGTAATCAAATTTATGCGCAGTCCAGGATACTATCTTCATAATTAGTCCGTCTATGCTGTAATAGAAACAGGGAAAATCTAATAAGTCACTTTTTAGCTACTCTTTTCTACTGCACTTCACCAAAACAGGGGTCTTGTCATGCCACTTTAGTGGAAGTTAACATAGTTCATGCCCACAGGGATAGCAAATACCAATCAATGAACAGACAGTTAACATAGTGTATGATCTAGTCGACAGGGCCATCGAAATTTTCATGGAACGCTTGCTGGTGGTACCCTTATATAATCTGCAAGTGTCCCAACCAAAACAACATGAATGCATTGTCTGTCACTAATGAAACCCTTGACCTGCATTAAGTATAGTTCTCATGTTGCTATAGAGTCCCTAGGATCAAATGGACCAAACCGATTCTTACACCAAGTTTGAAATGAAATATAAGAGTTGATGCATTGGTTTATTTCTGCAGGAATAACAACCTGTCCAGTAACAGTAACTTACCTCCTCATTATCAAATAATGCAACCATCCGAATAGCGTTTTCATCAGCTAGATCTTCAGGTAAGGTACAGGCATCAACAAGAGCTCTCAATGCACAAAAACTTGAAGCCAAATTATCTAATCTTCCAGAAAAAATGAACTCATCATTAGCGCCTCCAAGGCAACTGGCCTGGGTATCACAGACGTTTAATTCCATGCTGGCAATATCTTGAACATTACAGCCCAACTCATCTGACAAGATCTGAGAAATGAAGTGTATGAGCCGTATGTTCTGCAAATATATCTAAAAATCCATCCACGTTCCATAACATGAAATAACCCCCAATGTAATAATTAATTCAAGCAACCATGACTTTGTGAAAACAACATTATCCAGAAAAAGAACCACGTAAATACTACTAGCATGGAATGCAAATGCATATTATGGGACAAGCTGGAACCATATGTGAAAGTGAAAGTCCATCAACGCCTCCTGCATCACATTAACCATTTCTGAGCCTTAGCTAGTGATCTACGCTGCTTCCCAGTGATTCTCAAATAACATGTGAAGAAAAACGACAGTTATATCATATGTAGTATGCCAGAAACAGTTATTCGCGAATCTAAATTGTTTGATTAATTTCAACTCGGAAAGGTTGTATTCGTCTATAATTCTCCCAAGAATGTTGTTATGGCACATACCAGGAAAGCTTTTGTAAACAGGCAACTATTTTGCTAAATGATACAATTAACAGAAACCACACATTGGATGATTCAGATAGAAAACCAACTTCCAATTGGTATAAGTGTCACATAAATATAGCAAGAATATATAATAAGGAAATGTTGGAAACTAGGATTTTTATTTTTATCTATTTCTTCCTCTTAAACAAGCAAACCACCACATAATTTCTAAACAGAAAAATGTTAAATTCTGTATTGAAACTCTAAGAAAGTTGAGCACGGAAACAGTTTTCAGGTTTCAAGAAATATATCAAATCTCTCCTATATATATGTGCATTATTTCTTAGAGCTTTAATGTCAACTTCTGGTGCTCCGTAATCATGTGTCATTTTATGGTGATTCGGAGAAGTCGTAGATTTGAAATTTTATCATATCTATTATTAGGACTTTTTAGGCTAACTTGAATTATAAATATATTCTAAAACTAGTAACTTGTTTATTTGTTATCAGTTTTTCAAATATAAATAAATCATCGTTTAACAATCTTCGATTTGACATCCATGTTATATATAGAAAACAAAAATGACAATTACATTTACCTTTATAAAGAAATGCTAAATTATCTATCAATTCTAATTGAAAAATAATAAATTTATCATTCAATGATATTGTATGATGATGTGAATTTGAAATTTATTATAATATAGGACGAGCAAGTCTTACAGGTGAGGATGTTGTTTTGAATAAGTATAATAATGCACTTTTCAAAAGAACAATATTTGAAAATATAAAATTATGTACTTATATTTTTATCTGTTTCATAAATTTTTAAGTATAAATTTTTTAATCAAAACAACTACTAGTGAGAATTAAATCCTAACATGAGAACTAAAAATTATGACATAATACGTACAATGTGATGCAATTACTAGGGTTTTACAGTGATATTATAGCATAGTGATGGCAAAATATCAATCCCAACAATTTGATGCTATTAATACTCCACCCTTTAATAACAGGCCAATAATAGCATTACATACAACATAAAATAGCATAGGGTTTAATTCCTACACCAGGATTTGTGTTACCAACTTACCATTAAACGTGACCCTGTTTGTTTAGATCAAAACCTATATTGGTTTAGCACTTTATATCATTCAAAAAATTCAAATCCAGTTGTGCAACCTATCATTATAAATTTGGTCCTTTGCATCTTCTCATGTTTCCAGAAAAAACACTTCCAAGTTAACATTTTCAGGTTTCAACCACATGCTACACTCTTGAACCCTCTGTAACCACCTGAATCTAATCAGTATACTATTTTTCCAGATATAAACATTTAAATAATTCAATAGGACCGTCCCCTACAAATTATCCTAATAAATTATCATAATTAAATAAAATCATCAAAGTCAACCAAAAATAACCAATTTTATTAATACTATTATCCAACAACATATCCAATTTCTCATGAAAATAGTCAAGGGTCGCTAAAAATACTGCACATGGCAATTGCTCATGAAAGTAAACTAAGCAAGCTGTAATCTCAAAAGCTGCTTTTCCGCCCAACTAGACATTTTTTTTACAGATGATACCCCAAAGGGAAAACCTGTATGATAATAGTACAAACTTGTCACTTAATCTCATTGCCAAAAATTCAGCTTCAAATAACTTGAGAAGACAACGTTATACAATCATTCTCTTCATTGGATTACGTAGTAACTCGATAATGTGGACAATGTGCATCTATGTCCATTACGGAAGCTCAAACTCTTCTAATAATCAACTTAGGCACCAAAATTTGAGTAACTTTGAACTATAGTGACTTACCATGGCTCACCAATTCAGAACTTTGTTATCAGAAGAAAATGTAGGTACTCATTTACATGAATAAGACCATTTGTTTGGCAATCTAATGAGATTTAATACTTTGCATTCTTCGAGATTTTGATATTTTAAGAGAGTGATTGGATATGGATTTGCCTAGAAATTATCCAATCATTTTAACCCAACCACTTTTTTAAACTCAATTTAACCTCATTATCTCAATATTATCAATATAATTAAATAATTTTAATTCATCATCCTTAGTTCCTTACACATCACATCAACTCTAATTCACTATAAATCCACTCACATAATTTGGAATACCTATCACTTCCAATCACCTTTCTCCTACATTTACATCAAATCAACTTTAATAATATTATTTTAAATATTATTTAAATACAAACTCAAGATCTCATTCAAACATAACCCAACCACTTTTTCAAAACTAATTATGGTTACCAAAAAAATCAATCAAATCTATATTCAATCACACGCTAAGAATCTTGGTGTATTTAACTAAAGAATTATTAAAACTTCTAAAAGTCTTGAGTCATTTAATTGGGATTTTAAAAAGTGGTGAGGTAATCAATTTATATAGTATACCACTGGGATTTGCATGGATTTTTTAGATTTTTTAAGACTTAATTAGATTTCAAAGATAAAATATATATCAAGTCCCTCACCAAATATTCGTCTCTAGACTTAAGAGGGATATTTATTTAGTATTTCTAAAGACCTTTTCAAACTTTAACAATCATGGTGTATTTAACTTTTAAAAGTCTTGAAGTATTCAATTGAGATTTTAAATGTTATAGAAGTCATGATGTATTGAACTTATTGACACTGGGATTTGTTAGAACTTTTTACAATTTACCAAGATTTCAAACACAAATAACATATATCAAATCCCACAACCAAAACCCACCCTTTAGACTTGAGATTATTAAG